CGAATGACATGCGATGCATCATGCGTATGCTACCATGTCGTCGTTTTTTTAGTTCATTATAAAGAGCTGCGGCTACCTGCAGTTGATATTTTTTTTATTTCATTCTATATACATTCAGCTTTAATGTGAATATTAATTGAATGCGGAAATCGATGGCGATCGAACTGTAACTCTACTTAACTGAAAAGAAGAAAGGAAAATTACACTTTACTTAATCAGTTTCTATAGCTGCCTTATATAATGAAAAGAAACAAAGGAGGTACTTATTTTTTTCTACCTAAAACGCCTTTTCAACAGAACATAGGCACAGAATCTTAACTTATATACGTGTCGATTTGTAACCCGTTATAGTAATCGTTGTTTTAAAGAATTAAGTAAGAGTTCAATTTATGACTTTTATCTGGAATTTCGTGCTTGATTATGGGGTACAGGAATTAAATTTTGAAGAATTAAATATAGGATACGATACCTCATTTATTTACCTTTAAGTTAATAACAAGATTTTCATTTTTTTCTTATGTCAGAAAAATAGGTTTTGTCCGCGTTTTTCGCGTTTCAACCCACTGTGCGGCGGTTCCAACGCTGCTACTTGGCCCTGCAGTCGTTTCCACGGTTCGGTGTCCCTCGGTTGCTCTCGTCGTCCTCGTCTAACCTCTGCTGGCAACTCCACCTTTTCAAAAGCAGCCAGCACAGAGCTTTTATTTTGGAACCTCTGAATGCGTGCCTGGTTCCGTAGCACAGTATCGGGAATACCCTCAATAATTTCATCCACCAGTTCTGCCTCGTCCTCGATGGGGATTCGATTCGCCAGAACTACCTTGTGGTGGAAATATTCGCAAAAGGGTTCTCCCTTTTTCCAGATCTTTGCTCAAAATTCCTCCTCCTTGTTGCTTTGCTCGGTTGGTAGCGGTACATCGCCTGCAACTCCTGTATACATTCTTCAAATGTCAATTGAATGAACTCCGGCTTCGAATGGAACCATTCTAGAGCCCTCCCTTTTAATCGGGAGCCAATTAGGATTCGGCATTCGGAGTCGTCCAACTGGTACGATGTCCCGAGCAGAGTTATCTGTTTCTCCCATCTCTCATAGCGATCCCGGTCTCCGTCAAAATAGTCCAGAAGATCCGCGATTACAGTGATGCCCACCTTTTTAGTGGTGCTACCTCGTTCTATTGTTACTGGCGCCACGTTTAAGGACTGCATTCCCCGCATCATCTCCATCTGGCGCAGCATAAGCTCACGCTCTTGTCGCCAATTTTCAGCCTCGCGCTCCCGTCGCAAATTTTCAATCTCGCGTGCCCGTAGCAATTTTTCGACCACACGTTCCAGTCGCGAATAGTCGGTCTCACGTTCTGTGTTGCTCCCTGATGTTCCCTCTGAGCGTCGTTGTTCTCCAAACTGTTGCTGCGTAGGCTGTCCCGCAGGCCCCTGTTCCAATGCCTCGTGGTAGTACTCTCGGTTAGTTACCTCTAGGCATTCACCGACCGGATCCGCCTCCAGCAGCCTTGACATCAGCTCGGCTTTACTGCCCGATGTCTGTTGCCCCAGAGCTCTCAGCTTCTCTTTCAACTCCGACACCGTCATCTCACGATAAAGTGTTGCGGATCTCATTGTTCTCTCACAACAACTCACGATTATACTCACAATAAAACCCCACAGCGCAACTCACAAAGTTTTCCCGAAGTCTCTCGCACAATTCGACACTTGACAGTGGTAACCTCGATCCCGGAGGGGCCCCCAATTTGTAGGAATTATTTGTAATAAATTCCCCGTGGATGGGTGTCGAGGTATCAGACCAATTAATGAAAGGTTTTTATAAAACTGTTGGGATACTTGGGGATGTGGTCGATAAATAATACTACACGTCCTTATTACACTAATATATATTGTTATAATTCAATATTATATTTATTATCAATCACTTACATTCTAGTATAATATATAATGTTGTACACTAAATACAAGATAAACTCGCACACGTGATCTAAACTTATTCATTGTTCTTATTCGACTGGGGCAGGAAGTGTCGCCATAGGGCATATACAGGGTGTCCCGTAAATAGTGTAAGAACCGGAAATGGGGGGTAGCTGAGACGATTCTGAACAACAATTTCCTTTGCAAAAATGTCGGATGGAGCTTCGTTTTTGAATTATTAACGAAAAACACTGACCAATCACGGCCCTCGCCTTCCGCGCGCTCAGGGCCGTCCGACCTCGGAGAGCCACCGCGCCGGGTAGGTAGCAAGATGCGCGTTGAAGATACATCGAGGAACGAATACAAATAATTAAAAATACTACCACTACAACTGTTACCTAATTCGTTAATTACTACGTAATTAGTACGTAAATTACTAAATGGAATTTATTAATTATTTGTATTTGCTGTTTCCGAGAAAGAAGGAACAAAATCTCGGTATTTTTAGGAAATTGACCCTTCGCAACCGAGTGACGCTTCTCGCCAGAGTGTTTTAAAATTAAAATAAAAATTATTATCAGAAAATTAAAATAAATACGGTAAGAACCATTTGTAACCGTTTGTTATTAAAAACTGTACTGAAAAAGCAGACTGGATTTCTGCGTACCGAAACATTCCTCGAATGCAAAGGGTTAATAGAGAAATAATTGAAATTCGACTTACCCATTTATCTGCAAATTGACCTACTGCGCTGACAATAGAGCCCGGCCAATGCACCGCTGTCGGTCACAGCAAGGTCAAAAACCCCAACGAAAATCAGCTGATGGGACGGCCCGATCGCTGTACCTGCTTCTCACCCCGAAAAAACTTCACAGCACGGTCACTAACACTTTTCACTTTCACATACCGATGTGTTCCGTTGCATCCTACTTCGATTGTTGCTCCTTCCTGGGTTGATAACGGTGCCTGGATGTTGCTCCCTCCTGAATTGTTACTCCTTCCTGAATGGTAGTTGCTCCCTGAATTGTTGCTCCTTCCTGGATTGTTGCTTCTTCGAACCTTGCTCCCTTCAGGATTGTTGTTCCTTTTCGCTGGGATAATGGGCGCGATACGTGCGGGCGGCTTTCTTCGCGTTCCCCTTGGTGTCCGCGAAAACGAAGAACGAACGATAATCCTCTGCGTTTACGCGTTCCATCGCGTGCGTCCGCTTCTGTTCAGAAACGCGTAGGTTCTGTGAAAAATTTTGACTGACAAATTGCATTTCCCTCCCCGAAAAAGTTCCAGGTAAGGCAACCCATTGTCGCGCGATTCGGAGTTACCTGCGATCGACGAACGTGCAGACCATGTTTGCCGCAAATGTTTGCTGCTAAACTGTACGGTCCGCTTTTCTAATACAATTTTTAAGATTGACCGTGAATATTTTTCCATGGAAAATTTGTTATAAAAAAGAAAGAAGAATATACCATGAAAAATTAAATAAAATAAAAAGGTTTTATTTATAAAAAATAATCCACGAGGAAGGAGTCAATTACATAATAGATAATATGCGATAATAAATAATATTGGAGCAACAAAAAACAAAAATATTTAAAAAGAATATTAAATAATATTTTTTCTAGTTCTTATTTCTCAAATGAAAATTCCAAGAAGATATATTTTTTAATATTTGTGTTAAATATTTTTGTTGTACAATTAAATATGTTATCCATGAAAAAATATTCACGGTGAATCTTAAAAATTCTATTAGAAGAGCCGACCGTACAGTTTAGCAGCAAACATTTGCGGCAAACATGGTCTGCACGTTCGTCGATCGCAGGTAACTCCGAATCGCGCGACAATGGGTTGCCTTACCTGGAACTTTTTCGGGGAGGGAAATGCAATTTGTCAGTCAAAATTTTTCACAGAACCTACGCGTTTCTGAACAGAAGCGAACGCACGCGATGGAACGCGTAAACGCAGAGGATTATCGTTCGTTCTTCGTTTTCGCGGACACCAAGGGGAACGCGAAGAAAGCCGCCCGCACGTATCGCGCCCATTATCCCAGCGAAAAGGAACAACAATTCTGAAGGGAGCAAGGTTCGAAGAAGCAACAATCCAGGAAGGAGCAACAATTCAGGGAGCAACTACCATTCAGGAAGGAGTAACAATTCAGGAGGGAGCAACATCCAGGCACCGTTATCAACCCAGGAAGGAGCAACAATCGAAGTAGGATGCAACGGAACACATCGGTATGTGAAAGTGAAAAGTGTTAGTGACCGTGCGTGAAGTTTTTTCGGGGTGAGAAGCAGGTACAGCGATCGGGCCGTCCCATCAGCTGATTTTCGTTGGGGTTTTTGACCTTGCTGTGACCGACAGCGGTGCATTGGCCGGGCTCTATTGTCAGCGCAGTAGGTCAATTTGCAGATAAATGGGTAAGTCGAATTTCAATTATTTCTCTATTAACCCTTTGCATTCGAGGAATGTTTCGGTACGCAGAAATCCAGTCTGCTTTTTCAGTACAGTTTTTAATAACAAACGGTTACAAATGGTTCTTACCGTATTTATTTTAATTTTCTGATAATAATTTTTATTTTAATTTTAAAACACTCTGCCGAGAAGCGTCACTCGGTTGCGAAGGGTCAATTTCCTAAAAATACCGAGATTTTGTTCCTTCTTTCTCGGAAACAGCAAATACAAATAATTAATAAATTCCATTTAGTAATTTACGTACTAATTACGTAGTAATTAACAAATTAGGTAACCGTTGTAGTGGGAGTATTTTTAATTATTTGTATTCGTTTCTCGATGTATCTTCAACGCGCATCTTGCTACCTACCCGGCGCGGTGGCTCTCCGAGGTCGGACGGCCCTGAGCGCGTGGAAGGCGAGCGCCGTGATTGGTCAGTGTTTTTTGTTAATAATTCAAAAGCGAAGCTCCATCCGACATTTTTGCAAAGGAAATTGTTGTCCAGAATCATCTCAGCTACCCCCCATTCCCGGTTCTTACACTATTTACGGGACACCCTGTATATATAGCACGCGTCGCGTCACGTGACCATATATCGAGAACTTTCTACAATCTCCCACTTTCACGATATATGTATATTTTTAATTTGACTCCAAATTCATAGACCTTAAATTCAACATTTTTACGTATTCATGATGCTTAGTTGCTTTCAGCCCTTTTGTTAGCATATCCGCTGGATTTTCGTCGGTCGGAATATACTGCAAACTCATAAGTCCTTGCTCCAACTTTTCCCTCACAATATGATAGGATATATCGATATGTTTTGACTTGTTTCTGTCTATATTGCTTCTCGAAAAATCAATTGCTGCCCTGTTATCGCAAAACATTTTAAATCCTGTAAAATGATGTAATAAATTAAGTTCGTTTAATACCATTTCAAGCCATATTATTTCTTTAACGCCTTGCGATAATGATACATATTCAGCTTCCATAGTGGAAGTTGAGATGCATTTTTGTTTTACTGATCTCCAACTGATTATGTTACCTGCAATTTTTACAATCAAACCTGAGAACGAGTGCCTATCATCTATATCGTTGCCCCAATCTGCATCGCAGTAAACGTTGATATCATTATTGTTATTTCTTTTATATGTTAACCCATAACTGCGCGTTTTACTTAAATATCTTAAAATATGTTTGACTTGAAGCCAGTGTTCCCTACCAGGGTTTTCATTGTATTGGGATAATTTCGTTACAGCAAATAATATATCCAATCTTGTAAACAATGCTAAATGCATTAGTGATCCTATTGCTTCTCTATACGGTACTTTAGACATCTCTTTCTTTTCTTCTTCGCTATTCGGAGATGATTCTTTACTTAAGGCAGTATTGTCGTGTATAGTGCTGTTTTGGAGGTAATTTGTAGGATAGAATAAATTTAAAACTGTTGGGGTTTTCTTTCTAAAATTTTTTACACATATTTATTGCTTCGTTAGAAATGTGCACAAATTAGAAAAAAATGTTATGTATTTTTGTATCCTTGAATACGATGGTGCGCGGGAAAGACCTGTAATTAGCAACCAATGTTGTGGACGTTGTATACATCTAAAAAAAATAAACCAAACATATTCTTAATTTATATGGGTGTTGTGATGGTTGGTACCAGATACGGGCAGGAAAAATACTTCTTTACAAAATGGCGGTATGCTAAACTGTAATATCGATTTTTCCTATGTTTTTGTCTCTTCTACAAGTTAAAAGAAAACACAACAAAAATATTTTGGCTCAATTGTGCTACCAACGTCAGAAAACAGTCTACTGAAGGTGTATACTAAATTTGAGCTCAATCGGCCAATTGGTTTCTGAGATATCGTGGTTGCCAATTTGTAAAACATCGTTTTGAGAAAACCACGTTTTGTAACGCGACATAATATTTTTACATACGTTTAAGAACGACGACGCGACTTTCGCCAACACACCGCGCTCTTAGTGTTAACGAGGCTAGAAAACAAGCAGGTAATGCTAAAAATAGAAGGGTCGCAACCAATCAGCGGCGGATCAGGGCAGCGCTAGCGCGCTACCCTTAGTATAAATACGGGCCCTCAGGCCCATGTTCGTCAGTCACTACCCGACTACAGTCAGAAAAGCGCCACAGTGCCGGCTCCTACGCGGACGTGCCAAGCTGTTGGAAAACCTATCGACTAACCATCGGGTACACTCGCCACGGGAAAGCTCCTCAGTGCCGGCTCCTACGCGGGCGTGCCAAACTGCAGGAGAGCGCCCACCGCCTCTCGTTGAGAAATCCTCACCGACCCCGCGCACTTGGTCAGGGCCTAACGACCTCCGACGGCGGATCTTCCGCCGGACTTTTGTATAAGCAGCACAATAAACTCGAGTCCACCTCCGGGTAGACTCCTGCATCGTACCAAGCCGTTCGTGTCACTCAAAACACCCGCACCCTCCTCATCTACCCCCTTCATCCATCCTCTCCCAATACCTCCCTTCTTTTCCCTCCCTGTTTCCACAGGGAAACACAAATCCCTCTTACATTGGCGCCCAACGCGCGGCTCTTCGCCGGGTTCGAAAACAAGGAGCTTTCGACCAACGCCCGGACGAGGAAAAGAGGACACCACGGCTTCCCACAGGAGTAGGAGTCCCCGTACGAAAACGAACATCGAGACGCCCAGAAGAAGCCCCAGGAACATGGCGATCCAGATGACGGAGGAGCAGCTCCTTCGCTTGCTCAGTGCGACACGGCGCATGGACGCACCCGCCGCAACCCCGCAAGGAAGTTTCGCCCGCTGCACGGCGAGATATGACGGAGCACGCTGCAGACAACGACTCGAGGAGTTCGTAGCCACCGCCTCGATATTCAAGGATATCGAAAGCATCACAGACGCCAACGCGGTGAAGGGACTCCCGCTCCTCCTCGAAGGAGAAGCCGCCATCTGGTGGCAAGGCGTAAAAACGAACCACGCAACATGGCGCCAGGCCATGGACGCCCTACAGCAGCAATACGCACCACGTCGATCGGCTCCTACAATATATGCCGAACTATTTGCAACCAAACAGGATGGCCGCGTCTCCACAGACGCCTTCCTAGCGGGGAAAAGGGCCCTGCTGGCCTAGCTTCCACACCGCCATGAGGAAGGCATCCAATTGGACATGGTATACGCGCTCCTGAAACTAAATCTGAGGGATAAAATACCGCGAGGCAGCGTGACAACGTTTGACGACCTCACTCAGAGGGCGAGGGAGATAGAGGCCCTCGAACAAGAACGCAAGTCCAGCCAGCCAATAGTCAGAAGGGAGCCATCACCAACCAAGAATCGCGTGAGGTGCGCCTACTGCAGGAAGGACGGGCACTCCACAGAAGAATGCCGAAGAAGACGTCGGGAGCAAAACACGACACCGACGCAACCGGCACAGCCCGCACCAACCACCGTTCGGTGTTATGGCTGCGGGAAAGCGGGCTATGTACGAAGCCGCTGCCCCAACTGCACACAAGCCCAATTGGCCAGCATCGAACCAGCCGAGTTCTGCGCAATTTCCGCCACGCAGCAATGCCCGCGACCATCAGTCCAGATACGCATACATGGTCACTCAGGCTATGCCTTCTTTGACACCGGCGCAAAAACCAGCGTTGCGAGTAAAGGGCTGCACAAAGTGCTTGCGGACAGCGGGATACGCTTCCAACGAAGCCAGATGAGAGTTGCCTTGGCAGACGGACACCCACGGATCAGGACCATCCTAGGAGCCCATCTCACGGTATCCCTAAATGGCCACACTGTCAAAGCACCATTCATAGTACTCCCAGAAGCGGAAGAAAACAGGACCCTCCTAGGAATGGACTTCCTAGAAAAGGCCGGGGTAGTTATCAACATACCGCAGAGGGCATGGAACTTCCTCGACCGACCAGATCGACCATACCTGTTCAATGAAGAACCGTGCATAGAGGAGCTGCCGCGAAGGACGAAGCGTCCACTCAACAGCACACTGATGTCCATCGATGCGCGACACCACGCCAACCGGCAGCAGGAGAAACACCGCCAGGACAAGGGCCAAACACCACCACCGCCGACCGAAGAGAAGGACGATCGGGAAATTATCGACGAACTCTTTGAACGCTGCTTCTCAGGATACGTTGAGCTAGCGGCCGTCGAAACCGAGATCAGAGCGGACGAGGCCCGAACCCTCCCTTCGGAATCCAGGCGAGAGCTGTCCACCCTCCTAGAACAGCACCGGGACCTGTTCGAAAACCACGGGGACCCCACAAACCATGCCGAACATCGGATCGAGACGGGCGACAACGCCCCAATCGCAGTTCCCCCGTACCGCCTGTCACCAGCCAGGAAATTCGCACTCCGCGAAGAGCTAAATCAAATGCTGGCAGACGACGTAATCGCGGAATGTGAATCGCCATGGGCAGCCCCCGTGGTGTTGGTTAACAAACGAGACGGAGGAATACGCGTATGCGTCGACTATCGCCGTCTTAACGCGATAACCACGACGGACGCCTACCCTCTCCCAAGGATCGACGATCTACTACACTCGGCACCGAAGCCAGCCATCATGACAGCCCTGGACCTAAAAGCCGGGTACTGGCAAGTACCGGTTAGGAAACAGGACCAGGAGAAAACGGCATTCACGACCCCCTTTGGGATATACTGCTTCCAACGAATGCCGTTCGGCCTTAAAAATGCACCGGCCACCTTCCAGCGGCTCATGGACCGCTTCAAGAGTAATCTCCCCGGGCTAACAATGGTCGCATACTTGGACGACCTCCTCATCTTCTCGGCCTCATGGGAAGACCACCGCGACGACTTGCGAGCGGTATTCGAGCGCCTTCGGACGTTCAAATTACGGTTAAATCGAGGAAAATGCTGATTCGCATGCGCCCAGATCCGATATCTGGGACACATCATCTCAAACGAAGGACTTCAACCCGACCCCGAGAAGATCCAAGCGATCCTGGACCGCCCGAAGCCCCAAAACCTCCGAGAACTCATGGGGTTCGTACAAACCTGCTCGTGGTTTCGCCGATTCATAAAAGATTTCGCAGCGACAACGGAGCCCCTCACGCGCCTCACGCGCAAAAACGCCACTTGGACCTGGGAATCCGAGCAACACGAGGCATTCCTACGCCTCCAGAAAATGTTGACCGAGGCCCCGATCCTCCAGCCAGCGGACAGCACGAAACCGTACAAAATCCGCTCCGACGCCAGCGGATACGCCCTCGGAGCCGTTCTACTACAAGGGGACCCGACGGCAGAGCACCCGGTCGAGTACGCAAGCCGCTTACTATCGGCCGCGGAGAAAAACTATTCCACTACGGAACGGGAAGCATTAGCCGTCGTCTGGAGCATCTCTAAGTTCCGGGGATACATCGAAGGTGCGCAAATCCAAGTCAGTTCAGATCACCAACCGCTCCGATGGCTATTCGGCCTCAAAACGCCCAGCGGACGACTGGCCCGATGGGCCCTATTACTGCAGCCCTATAACCTGGTCGTCGACTACGTCCCAGGAAAAGCCAATGTGGTCGCCGATTTCCTCTCGCGACCGCCCCCGAGTCTCCAAGACCAGGGGGAGCCAAGCAGGGTGAGCTTAGTCAGCATCGACTTCCCGACTAGGGGGAGCGCTGAGCTGCGCGAAAGCCAACTCAGGGACGAACACCTACGGAACATCATCACCAGTTTCGAGGACACCGACCAAGGAGAAGAATTCCTCCGCTGGACCCAGCGCGGCTAACTGCTCGCCAACGGAGTCCTGTACCGCTTCTCGCCCGACATCGATGGCGAGGACGCGCAATTCGTCGTACCAGAGCACGAGCGAGAACACGTACTTCGTGAGTATCACGATTCTCCTACCGCTGGTCACTACGGCACGGAAAGAACGATCCAACGGATCGCTTCCCGGTTCTTCTGGCCCCACCTCCGACGAGACGTCATCCGACACGTCCGAAATTGCGTACTCTGCCAGAGGTACAAGGCCACGAACCTTCGACCCGCGGGACTGATCCAGACGCCCGCTATGCAGCAACGATTCGAGGTCCTCTCCGTCGACCTGTTCGGGCCATTGCCCGCCTCCGCCAACAATCGACGATGGATCTTGATCGTCGAGGACTTGGCCAGCCGATGGGTGGAGCTCTTCGCACTAGAAACCGCCTCCGCCGAAGCCTGCGCCACTACCCTCATCGACGAAATATTTCTACGGTACGGCGTGCCTCGCCGGATGGTGTCCGACAACGGCACGCCAATCCCGTGGAACGGAAGAACCGCGACCTTAAGGCGCAGTTAGCAATCCTGGTAGGAAACCAGCATCCCCAATGGGAAAGCAAGCTGCCGGGCATTCGCTTCGCCATGAACACGGCCCGGAGCTCGAGTACCGGCTATTCCGCGGCCTATCTAACGTTCGGACGAGATCTCCGCACCCCCGATGACGCCACTCGGGACCTACGAACCATCACCGAACAGGAGAATTTTATTCCAGAAATCACTCCCCGCTTGCTGCAGCTCGCCAATATCCTTGGTCTGGCACGCGAAACCCACGAGGAACAGCAGGACCGCAGCAAACGGCAGGGAGACCAGAAAAGGAAAGCCGACCCAGGGTACTCTCCCGGGGATCTGGTATGGGTCACGACGCACACCCTGAGTCGCGCCGCAAAGGGAATCACCTCCAAACTCGCCCCGAAGCGGGACGGGCCATACGTGATCCTGCGACCCGTGGGACCCGCCAGTTATGAAGTCGCCGCTCAGAATGACCCGCAGACTCCTTTAGGAGTACACCACACCTCGGCATTGAAGCTTTGCCAGCTTCTCCAAACGCAGGACGACATCTCGCCCCTCGTTCCGCGCCGCCGCAGAGGCCGACCACGAAAAGCCTCCGCTTGAAGAAAAACTAACACCCCCCCCCTCCCCCATCGCGCTCTCATTCCCTGGCCACCTTGCCGGGACGGCATCGAGGCCAGAGGGGGAGTCTGTAACGCGACATAATATTTTTACATACGTTTAAGAACGACGACGCGACTTTCGCCAACACACCGCGCTCTTAGTGTTAACGAGGCTAGAAAACAAGCAGGTAATGCTAAAAATAGAAGGGTCGCAACCAATCAGCGGCGGATCAGGGCAGCGCTAGCGCGCTACCCTTAGTATAAATACGGGCCCTCAGGCCCATGTTCGTCAGTCACTACCCGACTACAGTCAGAAAAGCGCCACAGTGCCGGCTCCTACGCGGACGTGCCAAGCTGTTGGAAAACCTATCGACTAACCCTCGGGTACACTCGCCACGGGAAAGCTCCTCAGTGCCGGCTCCTACGCGGACGTGCCAAACTGCAGGAGAGCGCCCACCGCCTCTCGTTGAGAAATCCTCACCGGCCCCGCGCACTTGGTCAGGGCCTAACGACCTCCGACGGCGGATCTTCCGCCGGACTTTTGTATAAGCAGCACAATAAACTCGAGTCCACCTCCGGGTAGACTCCTGCATCGTACCAAGCCGTTCGTGTCACTCAAAACACCCGCACCCTCCTCACTCTACCCCTTCATCCATCCTCTCCCAATACCTCCCTTCTTTTCCCTCCCTGTTTCCACAGGGAAACACAAATCCCTCTTACAGTTTAAAGTTTTCGTACTGTTTGATGAGGTTTGAATGAAATTATTGATTCTTACTAATTAATCAGCCAACCCGGATCCATAAATGGCTCCTTCCTCTGTCTCGTGAAATTGATTTTTGTCAGACAGTGCTTCTCTTCTAGCAGTCCTAGCTTTTTTTGAAGCGGCTGACGCTCGTCTTTCGGAACGGTCAATTCTATTTTGGTCGCGTAACATTGCATATGTCTTTGCTTGCTGTCCGATTTTGACACCCATCGTGTCTAATATTTTTAATATGCTTGAAAACCCTTCGTTAAAAATGCAGGCAGCCAAAAAAGTGGCGATTTCAACCGTAGCGGTTCCAGAGTGAATATGTTTAGGAGCAAAAGTCCAAATCAATGAATTTAGAGATTCATTATTATTTTGCGTCTCCGCTCCTAAGCACCGCTCTAACAAATCCTGTGATGAAAGATTTTCATATACAGGTTTTATAGCTTTTAAAACTTCATCACAAAGAGGTGGTTTATCATGACTAAATTCCTC